CATTATGTGACTATTTTGATTTCATTCTCCATTCTTCTACTGATATATATTTAGGCTGTGTTTCCCTTCATTTAAAAAATGCCTCTGGGCAGCACTCTGCAAGGCTCCTTGCGCCCCCGTGCAAGATCTTCTCTCTAGTGGAAGCCCAGAGGTGGACCCGCTGATATAATTCTACCTCACTGCTAAGTGCCCCATTGCTCTCCGAGGTAGTTCTACCGATCCCCACTTCTACCAGCAGCATCAGGAAGCTCCGTGTGCTCACATCCTCGCCAACGCTTGATATGAACACTTCTCCACATCTGCCAATCTGATGGCGTGAAGCGGTCTCTCTCTCGTTACTGTCTCATGTTGTGTTGTCCCCATAACTCCCAGGAAGGCTGAGCGGTTTTTCTCGAGTTTACTGGGCCACTTGACGTCCCTCTCCCAGTTTCTTCCCCCTCCCTGCTCAGAGGCTACTACTAACCTGAACTTGAGGTGGATGCTTCACATAGGGCATTGAATTCCCTATGCATACACTTCTCCATTTTTCTACCTGGCATTTCACTTTTACTTATTGACTTATTTGATTGCTTTTTATTTTATTTTTTAAGATTTTATTTATGTGAGAGAGAGTAAGTGAGAGAGAGAGAGAGAGCACAAGCCGAGGGGGGAGGGGCAGAGAGAGAGGGAGAAGCAGACCCTACCCCCCAGCAGGGAGCCTGATGCAGGGCTTGATCCCAGGACTCTGAGATCATGACGTGAGCCGAAGGCAGAGCTACCCAGGTGCCCCAATTTAAAGCTTTTTAAATAATCTATGCCCTAACCTGTGTGTTATATGCCATAAATACTTTTTCTATTCTATTATGTGCTTTTAAACTCTGTAATGATGTGTTTGTTATACAGACTCTTCATGGATCAATCTCTTCCTTTATTAGTTCTTTTCATGTCTCCTTTAAGAAATCCTTTCCTGTCCCAACATCATAAAGGTATTCCACTCTGGTTATTTCTAGCTGGATTTACTGTCGGGTAGTGTGTGGTGAGGTCAGGATCTGATTGTTTTCCTGAGTCATTTCTCTCAGCACCACTGATTGAAATGCCCATCCTTCCTCATCCATCTGTAACTCTTCTGTTCGCACATACAAGTTCCCACACCTGCCTGGGTTTGAGCCAATTCCACTGCTGGATGGGACCATCCCCAGGGCCAACGTCCAACTGTCATGACCACCCCAGCGTCATGGGAAGTTTTGCGCTCTGGCAGAGCACACTCCCCTCCCTTCTCAGGGTCATCTCAGGGATTCTGGGAACCTACTCTTCCATGTGAATTTTAACATACATTTGTATGATTTCATATCTCATATAAAACCCTGTTGGCACATCAATGAAATTACATTGAATTTAGAGATTAATGGGGGGGGCATGTGATAATCAGTCCTCCCGTCCATGAATATGGCTTATACCTCCATTATTCAGACCTTTTCTTCAATACATCTTTCAAATATTTTATAATCTTCTCCCGGTAAGTTTCACATTTTTTCTAGGTATCTAACGGCTTTTATGCTAGAGTGTATTATCCTTTCTTTTATCTTCTCAACAGCTGCTACTGTCGATCAAGCACCCTGTTCAATTCTATGACTACTTATAATAGTCTCTAGGTTCTCTTGGATTATCCACATAGTTATGCCATCTGTCAATAATGACATTTGACTCTTCCAAACTTTTCTTCCTTTCTTTCTTTCTTTCTTTCTTTCTTTCTTTCTTTCTTTCTTTCTTTCTTTCTTTCTTTCTCTCACATTGTGGTGCATTACCTAGGACCTCAAGTATCATGATGAATAAAGAAGTAAAAAAGAGGTTAGTTTGTCTGGTTCCTGATGATGCACATTTTTCAAAGAAGATCCACAGCCATGATCAATCTGAAAGGCTTCCATGTTCAAGAAAGGTGAATAACCTTTCACCTGAATAACCATCTCAATTACCTTTGCACCATGTAAAATACACGGAATCGGGTTATTAGTTGCATGAAAGGGAGTAAAACATTCGAACCAGCCGTCGGAGCATCGCAAAGGCCCACGAGAAAAGCAGGGCTGTGAGTCAGGGCAGGTACCGGGCATAACACTAATTGCCCATTAAGGGTTTGGGGAAAGAGTCACACAGAGGACACTGAGACCAGAGAATGTAGCAGGAGACAAAGAGCGGGGAGCATAACTGTCAGAGGCGACACGCACTGTGTAGACACAAACAGCTTCCATGCCTTGCTTCCCCTCAGTTTACTTATCCATAAATCAAAGCTAATAATATCTACATCTTATTTATGAGTCACAAATTTTCCCGGCTGAAAAAGGCAAATAAGGTTTTTAAAGAGTTCTTATTGAGTAGGTAGAGGGTGGGGTGGAATGCTCCAGGCCTTTTCCACATTAGTAGTTTACTTGGGGGAGGGAGGGAGAAAAGCTGGTTTTGGAATAAAGAGTAATAGGCTCTCCTTGAGTAATCTCTCACACACACACCTCTGAGACTGCCCCGGATCCCCAACCAACTAATCCCCTCCGTTTGCAAAGGTCTCCACAGTGGCACCCCCACCCCCAGCACCCTGCCTCCCAAGCTGAGCCACCAGGCTACGTGCAGTCCACCCTGGCTGCACTGGACAGAGCTGGGGAGACGTGGAGAGACTCCCCCAGAATGTCCCAGGTCAGGGCAGGTACGTACCTGAAGGAACCTCCCCCACGGGCAAAATGAGAACAGCAGACTGCGTATGAAATTCAACTCGGGCGGGTCGGACAGAAGTTGTTTCAAAGCCCTGGCATTTTTGATTCCGGTGGACAGGAACCATGAGGGGGAATCACCGTGCGTGCCTCTCGTGGAAATGTCCGGGAGCCTTACAGTTCAAGTTCCATACCCCACCCCCGCTCCTTTAATTATAGGAGCCAGAAACCCAGGCACTTTGTAATTTACCATGCAGCTCAAGAGTCACTTTTAGCTGAAGACAAATTGCCAGGCCACCTGGGCAGAGCAGTGAGGTGGATCAGGAGCCGGGGGGCCTTAGCAATCAATGGGGATGGAAGCCTGAGGACCACCTTCCTCTGTCTGGACCATCAGCCAGGGAGATTTAGGAACCACAGGCAGAAATGAAGCCAGTGCTGCCCAAAGGCAAAAACTTCAATCACAGGATGTTTGCAGAGACCTGAGCAGTCCATATAGATAGACAGATATAGATACACAAAAGACAGGACGGCATCCTCCCAGACACACTCGGACCCGCCATGTAGGTACAGAGCAAGCAGCAGACTCTACTTTTCCAGAAGGCCACACATTTCACATTAGCAGTGTCTGTGTGGGACTTTGGATGCAGAAGAAATGTCATTTACATTAGGGCCACACCACACTTTGCTGGCTTCTATCACGGATAATGATGAAACTAAATTTAACACTGCCTGGCACCACAGTTTGAGTTATGAGCTGGCGCTTCCCCGCCGTTTCGCTTGATCCTCTAAGTGTATAGTTTGTAGGAGATTTGTTAACTGCGCTGAAAGGTCCCCTGGTGGGACAGCACATTTCAGTCCCCTGCAGCCCCTCCACCGGCCATAAACCAACCCTTTGCCCCACTGCCACTCTGTGGGGTTGGGGCAGGGGAAAGGGATCTGCCTCGGGGGTCCTTTGGAGTTATGCCACCTTCGCGCCCAGGGCTTGTCCTCTCTTGCTAACCCAGTAATAGCGACAGCCCGGGCCGTGGGAGGACTCTGGGCTCACTGAGCAGGGTCGAGCCCTGGCCTGGGGTTTTGCTGCCGGCCAACACTGGATCTTCCCAGCAACTGCAGCCGGTATGACCGACACCGCCCCTACAGATGAAGAAGATGGGGAAGTGACTTGCCTAAGGTCATACAGCTAGTATGCGGACAGCTGCCATTGGAACAGCGACAGAAACCGAGAACCAAAGCAAATTCTAGGGGCCTGGAGGGGTTTTCAACGCAGGACCCCCTCCCCCCCACCCCCCTGCCTCCAGGGCCCCTGCGCCGGCTGCAGAGTCCTGAGCTGCCGGCAAAGCCTCTGACGGCTGCCTCCAGGCTCCGGCACCGGGCCGCCCTCCCTCCCCTCCGGGAGCCGCGGACACCGAGGGAGCACGGGACACCGAGACTCTGGGCCATGCGCCTGTCAGCGCCGAGCGGCGGCCGGCCGCCCTGGCGCGCGCTCAGGGTCTGGAGCCCCGCGCCGCCCGTCGAGGGCAGCGGGGCCGGCGTGGCGGAGCCGGGGCTCCGAGGCCAGGAAGAGCGTGGCGGGCACTGAGGACAGCGCTCGCGGGCAGAGCGCGCGGCGCCCGAGACTGGCTCCCTCTCCCGCCCCGCCGGGCAGGTGCCCGCGCCGGGCCGCTCGGCCCCGCGGAACTGCCCCCCGGGGCGCGCCAGGCCTGCGTGGACGCCCCCCCCACCTCCGCGCGCCACCCGGTGGGCCCCGCCGAGCGTCCCCGGGCGCCTCGCTCAGCCAGCCCCCGCCCCTCGACCGCGCGGGCCGAGCCGTTCGGGACCCCTGCCCGCGCGCGGCCGCGGCGGCGCCGCGAGCCGGAAGGAGGCGCCCCCTCGCGCCGTGCCCACCGGCGGCCGGGAAAGTTTTGGGCGCGCGGGGCCGGCCGCACTCACCTGGCCCAAGTTGAGGTAGCCGTGCGCCGCGGCCACGCGGTCCGCCGCGGCCGGGCCGCCCAGCACTTGCACTGCCCAGTGGTTGGTGTAGACGGGGCGCGGCGGCGGCGGCGCGGAGCAGGCTGCGGGCAGCGCGAGCAGCAGCAGCCAGCGCCAGGGGCGCGGCGCGAGCGGCCGGAGCCCGGGCCCGCCGGCGCCCCCCGCGTCCGCGGCGGCGGCGGCGGCGGCGGCGGCGGCCCGGGGCGGCGGCCGGGGCCCGGGCGCAGGCGGCGCGCGCGGAGGCATGGCAGCGGCAGGCTCGCGCGGCGCCCGAGCGGCGAGTGCGCCGGGGGGTGGGGTGCCGCCTTTTAAAGCCGCTCCGCGGCGGGGAAGCGCCGCCGCCGCCGCTGCGGGCGGGAGCGAGGGAGGAGGAGGCGGCCGCGGCGCGTTCCCGCCCGCGCGGCCCGGTGGCGCCCCTGGGCCCGCGCTCGTGCGGCCCGCAGCGGGACCGGCGCAAGCTGCGGGCCGGGCGGCGCGGGAGGCCCGGAACGCCCCGCACCCCCACCGGGAACTTCTCGCAGACTTTTGGGGCTCTCTGGACAGGCGGGCCAGGGCGGCCCCGAGCGGCGGCCTTGGCCCCGCGTGTTCTACCAGGAGCCCCGAGGGCCCCGGGGCAGCTCAGGTGAGTCCAGACTGGTGAGCTGAGGCCCTGGCGCCCTCCCGCCCGTCGGGCATCCTGGAGGCCTCGTTCACCAGGTCGAGTTTAATCTCCTTTAAGGGTGGCCTTGCTCATCTCCGTGTGAAAGGGAAAGAAGCCACAAGGAAAGGCAGAGTCATGGCCCGGTTCAGGAGGAGGCCTGATTGAAGAGGCACGTTACGTTACGTGGGGCAAAGACAGTCGGCAGATTAGCCGGGTTCAGTGAGTGCGCAGGAGAAACCCAGGGGTACAGCCCCGAGGCTACAGCCCACTTCGGGAGGCAGGTGGCACACGTGCATCCCCAAGCTGTCCACGTCGTATCTGCGTGATCTCGGGCACGTTGCTGTCCTTGTTGAGCGTGGGGCTCCACCTGTAAATGGGGATGACAATAGTATCTACCCCGTAGGGCTGTTTTGAGGATGACATGAGCTCTCGCGACGCAATAAGCTGCCCGTAGACGTTTGTGTTTATGAGCTCAGGGCCCGCCACACGGTAGGTGTTCACTTGCGTAGACTCTTAAAAGCTCCCACTGAGCTGGGACCAGTCAGTGGGAAAGTGAGTTGAATCATCCTTGCCCCTGCTGCCCAGAGCAGCCTAGAATGCACTAGCTAATTATTTGGTGCACCCCGGAGAATTACAGAAATGTTCACACTGTGAAGGAGCAAATGGTGAGAGGCGAGGACCCCTTCAGGATCTCTTCTCCCATTACTTTCAAGACCTATCGGTCCCAACTGGCCTCATGTGGAAAGCAAGCCTATACCTGATTAATACAGGAGAGGAAACAAAACATAGGCCCAGGAGGCCTTTGAGGTGGGAAGGCAAAACCACTGATCTGATGTTCAGTGCCTGGAAGAAATTCCTGTATAGAGCTCACTTGAGTCTGTGGCTTGGCACACAGAGGTTAGGCAATGAGGGGCAGGAGGGGTGGGGAGACAGCAGGATCCATGGAGGTGGCTTCCCCACGTCCCTTCCAGCCTCCCTCTCAGGAGCCCTTTGGTTTCGTAACTCACATGATTCATCCTTTCTGCAGGCGTGAGTCACCCTGAATAGAGGTGGGAGAGCGGGAGGTGTGGTGGGAGGCCCAACAGGGACAAGCCAAATCCTTATTCACAAGGGCTCCTACCAGGGGCCCCTCTTGGAACCCAGGGATTGATTTCCCACACGTTTTTCTCTTTTCTGCACTAGATGCAACTTCTCCCACCTTCCTTCCCCTGGCCAAGTGTGGTCAGCTCCCTGGGCAGACACTCGAGGCCTGCACCACACTGCAGAATGCAGGCCCTTTGCATCCCTAGACATGTGCCCACCCCTACCCACTTAAGAGACAGCAGGCCCTGGGGTAAGCGAGGCTGCCCTATCAGGCAGACACATAGCCAGAACCCTCAGCCTGTCTCTTCCTGAGGTCACCCTACCTGTCCCCCGAGAAGGGACGCTGGACTGAGCCAGGGGGTTGGATTAGAGGCCCCACTCTGTAACTTACCAGCAACACATCTGGGCGACACCTGTCACCTTTCTGGCCCCTGTCCCCTGGACTGTGTCTCGGCTCTGTCCCAGATCCTGTGTTGTACTTCTTCAGGTAGGTGGTCCTCTTCAAAATAATGCTACACTGCACATAATCTAAGTTATTATGAAGCAACTCGTCCCTCCCAAGAGGGTCCCCCCAAGACAGCAGTGATTTTGACAGGCAGAGATAAGGGTTTTTCCATAATAATTTGGTAGATTAAGGGATTCAGCCCACTGAACCGAGGAGCCAAAAATGCATTAGAATTTTTACTTGGTGGGATCTGAATTTATTTTATTAACAGATCTGGTCCTTTCGGGCTAAACTTTGCATTTATTGTAGAAGTGTCTGGACAACTGTCTTGGCTGGGCAATTGGACAATGTTAACATTGGACAATGTTAGAGGAAGACCAGCTTCCCAAAATGAACATCCTAAGTCAAATCACCTCTTGTGGGTTTCCTATTGATTTACTCGGTGACAGGATTAGCTCAATCACAGAAGTACCAGCCCTTGCACTGTGATAGGATCTGTAATAAAACTTGGCTGGTCTTCCTGCAGGGAGGGAGATTTACTCCTTCCTGAGGCTCCAGCTCTCCAGATGGCCTGTGAGGGTCCCACAGCTCGGGGCAGGGGCCAGGGTGGATGAGGGTGAGAGGGCTAGGGGGGAAAAGACATGGGCCAGAAAGGTGATTGGAGTCTGGTCGTATTTCAGAAGTTTTTTTTAAAGATTATTTTATTTATTTATTTGAGAGAGAGCGAGAGCATGAGCAGAGGAAGGAGGCAGAGGGAGGGGGGGAAGCAGACTCCCCGCTGAGCAGGGAGCCCGACGCGGGGCTCCATCCCAGGACCCTGAGATCATGACCTGAGCCGAAGGCAGATGCTTCACCGACTGAGCCACCCAGGTGCCCCCATATTTCAGAAGTTTTAGAAAATGCTAATACAGAGATGTGATATTTATACTAAAATCTTCCCAAATCAGACAAGAGGAGGGAGGGATCAGCACTGGGAAGATGTTATTGAATTCCGTGTTCTCGGGCCCACACTTGAGCCCTTCACAGCAAGTACAGCATGGCACAGCTGGGGCCAAGGAATGCCCAGCACTGCCAGGACCGCTGGGCAGCAGAAGGAATCACACAGCCTCCTCGGGTGTGTTGAAACAGAAATTCGATGCAGAAGTTGCATCCGTTTAAGCAACAAACACTTTACTGAGAAATTGCATTTTGGAGCTGTGCTCGGTCCAGGGGGCCAGGGGGGGCCTCCCTCAAAGAACGTCTGATGAGCACCACCTTCAGGATATTGGAGAAGAACATGCACTCAAAGCCCAGCTTCACCACGATTCATGTGCCACCTCTGGCACGTTGCTCCAGTATCTTCTGCTGGAAACGGCAGTCATGGTGCTGTCCCCGGGGCCGGGCCTGGGAGGCCAAGAGGAGCTCATGCATACAGACCCCTGGCCCAGCACCTGCTACTGCTGAGTAAGCACTCAACAGTGGTGACAACGGGAACCAGGCTGCTGCTGGGCACCAGGAGCCCTAGAGTGAGGAGGATGGGATGGGCAAGGCTGCACGCTCTGTCCCTCTGTGGGATTCACGGGCATGTGAACATTCAACCCTTCAGCCACGCCTAGTTGCACGTTTTCTCAAATTTTAACATCTCGGACAAGGGAGGTCCTAGGAAAGATAGGACCTCTCCCTACCTCCCACCCCTTCACCCCAGTCCCCGAGAAACTTTTCCCTGGTCCCAGGTTTTTACAAACCAGGGGTTCCCCAGCTTTCTTTCTCCCATTCACACTTCTCTTTTCTCTCCTTTTCATCCATCCCAAATCCCACCCGAAGCTGTTCCCTCTGAGTGGTGGGTCAGGGGTCTTCCCCTTCTCCGTCCTTCTCGGAGCTCTGCCTTCCACACTGTGTTAATGCCCATAGATCTTGATGTCTCCCCAGTGTGGGCTCTGTTTCATGTTGGACTCTACTCCTTTTGTCGGGGGCGGGGGGTGGGGGTTGTTTGACCATCTGAGCAGCACAAAGCCCACTCCACTCCTGCCCACTCTTTGCCTCTCTGGTTAGACTTTCCCTTTATATCTAGATACTCATTGTCTTAAGAAAGAGCCTTGTAAAAACTGCTTCTCCTGCAAAACAATTATCTCGCAATTATGTATCTTAGTGTTCCTTTCATAAACTCCCACATGGAAATTTAGTGTCAAACAAGGAATTTAAGAAGCAAAAAAGCAGAAACTCCCTGAGAAGCTCTTCCCCACTAACAATGAGAGCTTTGCAATTTATCTGGTTTCCCTTTTTGCCTTGGCTTCCAGGAGGCTCAGAGCCACATGTGATAGAAAATCACAATTGTTTATTTCCTCCTCCCCACAGCAGTTAGAATGCCTTTGAGTTTAAGTGCTAGAATACCCAACTAAAATGAACATGAACAGTAAAGATGGAATTTGGTGATAGGTAGAACCAGGGTTGCTAATTCAGCAGCTCAGTGATGTCAGGGCTCAAGATAGCTTTTCTGGGGATGCCTGGGTGCCTCAGTGGGAAAAAGGGTCTGCCTTCAGCTCAGGTCATGATCTGGGGTCCTGGGATCGAGCCCTGCATCCAGCCCCTCATCGGGCTCCCTACTCAGTGGGGAGCCTACTTCTCTCTCTCCCACTCCCCCTGCTTGTGTGAGCACACGCACATACACTCTCTCTGTCAAATAAATAAATAAAATCTGTAATTAAAAAAAAAAAGATAGCTTTTCTGTACTTTGCCTGGCTTTCTCCTCTTGCGCCTAAATCACTCCCTCAGACTGGAGCACTTTGTTCTCTCAAGATAGCATCCAAGGAAAGAAGGCAGGACACCCAGCTTATTTCCCCTCAGGCCCTACTGATCAGAACTGGGTCACAAGCCCACCCCATCTGCCAAGTCGTCATTGACCACATGAATGGGTTACCCAGGTTGGTTTGTAGCGGTGTTGGTTTTTCTCCTGGGGCAACATTACTGCCCCGGAGTGAGCAAAACCAGAGATCTGTTTGCGAGGGGCTGCTCTAGGAAGGCTGTTGGGTGGGCACCCAGCAGGTTCTACCATCTTTTCTCTGTTTCTATTATATCGCCTTTCTATAGATCTTGCTGGCACAGGGCGGACTACAAATGAATATTTATTGAAAGGAGGGAGAGAAGGAAGGAAGGGAAGGGAGGCTGCCCCGAAGCCAGCCCCCCACCCTCATGCCAAGCAGAGCCTCAGGATCACATTGCACTTTACCCAAGTTTGGCATACCAGCAGCAGGATATACATCTTATTCCTGTGTGAAGACATCACTCCGACTCCAGGCTGAGTTTCGGGTTCATTGCCTAAGTACTCTTCCCGAGTGAGAATAAATTAGAAGTTGGCTCCCTTCATAGTCACGGCAAATGGGGCGAGGCAGAAGATGAGGTGGGAGTCAGGGGTTTGCAGTCACAGGCCAGGGAGAAGAAGAGCTAGACACGAGTCCTTTCTCAACAAGAATCGTTTTGGGAACCAAGGTTTATAAATAGATAGTGGGGAGAGTGCATGCCAGTAGACATAAATGAAGTAGCCTGGCTGCAGAGGGTGGCAGAATTGGCTGTTTGGATTCCTTCTGGAAAGTTCCCCTTCCTGGAAAATAGATCCCACCCTCCAGCTTCTCTCTTCCTCCAAGGACACAAAGGCCAGAAGGCACAAACACAGTTACTTTTCTGCCCTCCTGCCCCTGGGGAAGGGGGTCTCCCTGCCCCTCTCCAAAGCCATGCCTCCCTTAATTGCCTGGTCCTCATGGCATCCCTCCCTCTGTGGGATCTTGCTCTGCTGGTTGCCCACACTCCTGACCCGTTCATCTTTTCCTCTCCCCAGATCGTTCCCTCAGCAGCATATTTACCGGAGCTCCTCACCCTACACAGGCACCATCACCCCCTTGGCCCTTCATACCATCTCTCTTGCCCTCCTCCTTCCTTCACAGGCAAGGTCCTGGAAAAAGTCACTTCGGTCTTCACCTGAGTGTCACCCTGGACCCAGCTCCCTCCTGACTCAGCAGCTGCATGCGCAGTGGCAATCAACCAACCAACCACAGCTGGAGAAGAAAGAAGACCACCCTGGGTCTCCCTGAGTGTTCCTCATCACACAACTCCGCAGTCATGTTGAAAACCCAAACCCACTGTTCTCAATGGCTGTTTCTACCTTCTTTCTGCAACTCCCACCCGCTCCCCCCCCCCCCTTGCTTGCTTCCTTCTTAACTCTTTCCGAGGAGAGACCTCCCCGCCCCACACCTGCCCTGCGGCTCTGCCTCGCCCCCCACCCCACCCCTGCCCTTGCTGTAGGTGGGCACACCCTGCTCCCTTCGAGCATCTCTACTCCAGTTTCCCCTGACCCCACCCCATCTCAAGAGGGTGTCCCTGCGCCAACTGCTGAATTATCTCTGTGCACTTCTCTTGGCTGAGTTTCTCCTGCAGAATTATCTCTGGTTCATGACAAACATGCTATTATTCCATCCATCTTTAAAAAATTTTTAAAAATTAAAAAACCTTGGGAAAAAATGGAAGCTACCCTTCAATTTCCTTTCTTCCCTTCATAGCAAAACAACATGCTCAAAAGAGTTGCCTTCACCCACTGTCTCAGCTTCTCTAACTCCCTGTCTTAAACTCACTTCAATCAGGCCACACCCCCATGTGCTGTCACGGTCACCAGCACCCCCTGAGCTGCTAAATCCAGTGGTCCATTCTGAGGCCTCGTCCTAGAAGCCACACCAGCAGCGTTTGGCAGGTGGAGCCCCTCTTGTCCCTCAAGCATTACTCCTGCGACCCCCAGGACACCCTTCCCCATCTGCCTGCTTCTCTTCCCAGCTCAGTGGCTGCCCCTCCCAGGCCCCACTGACGTTTCCTTCTTAGCCTCCAGTGCCCAAGCCCCGGTTCTTGGGCTTCTTCTCTCTCCTCGACCCTCACTCCCCTGGTGATGTTAACCATTCCCATAACTGCGGGGACCTGTTACATGCTGACAGTTCCCATTGTGTGTCGCTAGGTTGGACGTCACTCCTGAGCTCCAGGCAGCCGACGACTTTTCCACTGAGGTATCTAAGACGCATCACAAACACCGAGCTCCTGATCTTCCCCCCTCCTCCCCACCCCTACTTTGCCCCATCACAGTAAAGGGCATCTGGATGTTTCGATGTTGGAAATCCGAGGTGAGTCTGACCACTTCCCACCACTCACTGCTACCATTCTTGTCCCTCGCCTGGCAGAACTCAGTGGCCTCCTAAAATGCCCCCCTATTCTGCCCTTGCCCCCTTGAAACAAGCTTCAACACAGAGGATCACGTGAAAACCAAGGTCAGATAGGCTGTTCCTTGGCTCAGAGTTCTCCCAAGGCCTCTAGTCTCATGTATAGCAAAAATCAAAGTCCTTCTGGAGCCCCCGAGGTCTCCTATGATCTCCCCCCACCACACCCCGTGGGGTCTGTCAGATCCTAGAAGAGCATTGACCTAGGAGGTTCAGGCTTCCTGACGGAAGTGACTTTTAAGCTGAGCTCAAAGAAATAAACAGTAAGGACCCAAAGGAGGGGACCATCAGTCAGGTCTAAGTGGGAAACTAGAAACCACACCAATTATTCACAGTAAGGGAATTGGGGACACCGGCAAGAGAGAGAAGCTGAGATTAGCACGTTTCCCCCATCCCTAGCTGGGTTACCCAGGTGTCACCCACCTCCCTGCAGGGCACCCGACAGTGGAACCAGTGTGTGCAAAGGCCCTGAGGCTGGAGGAAGGTGGTGTGGTAGAAAAGCTAGCGAGGCAGAGAGGAGGAAATAAAAGGGGACAGGAAGGACAGCCAGAGGCTAGGCTGTTACAGTTCATCAACCCCGGCAAGAATTTGGACTTGATCCCAAGGGGAGTGAAGGCGGCGGAGGAATGCTCCCACCGCTCCAATCAGCCTCTCCTCAGTGGTTCTCAAACCTGTATCTGTCTGCAGCCTTACTCTGTCTTCAGAGGGCCACACCCTGGTTCCCACAACTTTCTCTCCGTACCCAACACCTTCACTGTCTCAGGCCTCTTAAACCCAGAGCGACCTACATCAGCCTTCTCACCTCCAACCTGCCCAGACCCTGCCCTTGAAGGTCCCCTGTGGCATTCACAGATATGCCAATCCCTCAGTGACACCGAGTAGTTTCTGCCTGATTCTGGCCTCTCGTCCCGTCTTTCTTCCCCTTCCCCATGGCCCCTATCCCTGCCGAGGTCCTCGTCGTGCACATGCGGGGTGTCGTGATCACTTCCCACGTGGTAAATCTGGCTCCAGCCTACCGTCCCCCCAGCCCACTGACCCGAGGCTTAGTTCCCTTAGACCATTTCTTTTTTTTTTTTTTTTAAGATTTTATTTATTTATTTGAGACAGAGAGAATGAGAGAGAGAGAGCACATGAGAGGGGGGAGGGTCAGAGGCAGAAGCAGGCTCCCTGCCGAGCAGGGAGCCCGATGCGGGACTCGATCCCGGGACTCCAGGATCATGACCTGAGCCGAAGGCAGTCGCTCAACCAACTGAGCCACCCAGGCACCCTCCCTTAGACCAGTTCAAGTCTTTGCAGCCATCAGGGTGGAACCCAAGCTCAGGGACCCAGCCCTCACAGCCTTCACCAGCCGGTGCTATCTTTCTTGCTCGTCCTGCCCTGCCATGGGGCCAAATGCTGTTCCCAGCTAACTAGCCATTCAGGCCCGGGCGGCTTGGCTTTCACCACTTCCTCCCTGGGCATGCCTTTCTCAGCTCTCCGCATGCTCAGATTCCTGCTCACAGGCCTACACCACAGGTCCCCTCCTCTGTGAAGCCTTCCTTAACCGAAAGTACCCCTCCTACGTGCCAGCCCTCCCCGTCTTTGTCCCCAGGCAGAATTGCTCACCCTGGCTAAATTGCCTTATGCTTTGTGGCCCAACCATGATGACTGGTCACGGGATCTCTCACGCCCGGCTCAGTGCTCAGCTGGGTGTTTGGTCTCAGTAGCTGCTTCTCATCTCTCGGGGCTCCCTGGGCCACCCTTTCCTCACTGCTAAGATGAATCTTTAGCCCTGGTGGTCTTGCTCTATGCCTGTTTAAATAAGATAGGACCTCGGATCTAGTATTTTCCTCTTCCAGAACCTTGGGGAGGGGATTGGCTGGTCTGATGTGGGTAGGCACTGCAGTGAAGGGAATCCAATAGGTTTAAAAAAAAAAAAAATCAATTAGAGTCCTGGATTTTTTTCCTACAAATGTGATAGCCAGCTATAATCCTAAATGTCACCCTTTCCAGGTTATCTTTCCCTCAATATTACGTGACAGCGATTTTCCTGAAAGAGTCAAGAACGGAAGACCGATTGTAGATATCCAGGAGCCCACAGAAGACACAGGGCCAGGGGCGCTAGAGCTGGGTCCCAGTTTCTGCTGGACGGGCCTGTGACCAGGGCAGACTTTCGGCTGGCTGAACTGGGACCACAGGAGTGCAAAGGGGCAATGCGGAAGCGAAATAGGGTCCGTGTGGACGAGAGAAGGCTGGTGACCACAAGGCTCCAAGAAGCAAGACTCACAAAGGCATTCACGTTCCTTTCCACATGCCGCTTTGATTTTCTGCTGATTTTAGTGTAACTTCCTATGAGACTGCCTGAGGGTGGGCCTCTGCGGCCCAGTTGGGCAGTGATGAGGGGTGTGGGCTCTGGGCTGAGCATGGAAACCAGCCTGGCCCTCGCTGGCTGTGTCACTTCCGACAGTTCGCTTTTGATCCCAGGCCTCAGTTTCTTCCGCCGTTCGCGATACTCTAAGTGGTATGTATGTCCTTTGGAGAGCAAGTGAGGTGATCCGTGCAAGATTAGGACAGACCTTGCAGCCCGCAAGCTGGCAACGAACCTCCCCGGGATGTGTGTCCTCGGTCTGGCAGACACTGGCAAGGGGTTGTGGCGACAGCAGAAGCGTGGGGTTGGTGGGCACCATGCCGAGTTACATTTAGATGTTACTAAAACCTAAATGGTCCCTGGTATCCTGCTTGGATCTACGTGGTAGATTTAGGGCTTCCAAAATCCACTCGAGGCTTTTTACATCCTCCTCACTATTTATAGTCTAAGTTCTCCCAAATCACCAACCCAGCCAAAATCCTTCCCGCTGTGTTTTCTCTCCACCCAAGCTCACTGGCAGCCATGTGATCCGTGGCCCCAACAAGCCCCTTACTCTGTTTCCTCGAGGAGAGAGTTGTGGGATTCCTCTGCCCTTCGCAGCCTCGGCCACACTGACAGCTCGGGGGAGCCTGCCATTCCTCCAGTTCCCCCCACGGAGGTGAACTCCAGCAGCCATACCAGTTTCTGCCATCTGATACTGTCATTTTTAAAGGTGGGAAATTTGGTAAGCAAACAACATTCTGTGGCTCGGATGATTTTGTGTCCGGCTCTTCTTCTTCTGGATTGGAGCCAAGTCCCTTATTCTTATTTTTTCTCTGCCTCCTTATAAGCCCTTTCTCCCTCCATCCTGTAAACTTGATCTTGCATTAGAAACCAAATGAAGCAGCGTGATTCCTCCTGAGCACGTAGCCAACGCGGGTCACAGGGGGTCACCGTCGTGAAGAGGGAAATCTAATTCATTCCTCACCCTTGGGAACCTTCTCACTCATGGCCAAACTGTGCCTCTCGAAGTTCATGGAGGACTCGCGGCACACAGCAGGACACGTGACAGGAGGTCATGGTGTCAGGTTCTGTCCCACAGACTAGGTAAGGAAGGGTCCGAATAGAATAGGAGAGCCCAGGCAGGTATATGAGAGGCAGCATTCACTACGGTTAGAGCAGAGGTTCTTGAACTGACCATCTCAGTTTTCATTCCAGCTCTGCCACTTCCTAGCTGTGTGACCTTGGGCCAATCGGTTAACCTCTCTGGGCCTCAGTTTTTCCAACCGAGCATAAAATGGGCATAACATTCGTGTTCGCCTAGAATGAGTCAGCGTAGATCAAGTTCTCTGACTTGGGCCTGGCACTTCGACAGCATCATGTAAGAGCTATGATTCTAAGACCAGAGGTTTGGTGATAACTGATTGCTCCTTGCAAATGTAGATGGTGCGAAAAGTGTGTGCGTGTGCAGCTGTGGTTAGTACAGATGTGTTCTGGGCTGGCCAGCCCCACGGGGCTAGCCTCGAATCTCCACCAGAACAGATGCACAACCCCGGCAGTATCAGCTCCCTGCCGATGTGTGCCTGATAAGAAGGAAGGGACCAGGCGAGGAAAGGGAGGAGTAGGGAGGGGTCGAGGAAGAGAAAAACACTCACATTTATTTACTGAGGCCTCTGTAAGGCTTGCGTGTACATCTGCATCTCATTTGTTTTTAAAACCACCCCGTGCAGTGGTGATCCTTCTTCTCTTTCTACAGATAAAAAAGTGAGGACTCAGAAGGAAGACGGGCCTTGCCTAAGGCCTCCCACCCCCTGAGTTTAAGTGAGCTAGCAAATGTTCTCATCGGGGCGGAGGGGGTGGCTGTGAAGGCAGGACACAAAAGACAGAGGGAGGAAGCTGCGTTGTAGCCTAGAGGTCCCTGTCTCTTCCTGCCAAACAGCAAGGGAAATCCTTGGATGCTGATCAAGGCACGAGAAGCCCTGAGGAAAAGGGAAGCTGGCCTACCCATGGGTCAGTTGAAACAGAGGGCAGACGTGGGGGAGTCACTGGTCATGTGTGTCATCCCCGCCCAGGGGCTGTGCTCCTGGGGCCTGGGGAGTCCCTCCAGGACTGCTCTCTGGGGATCAGGAGGCTGCACTGTTGCCCCCTAGAGGAGACAGAAGGAGGGAGAAGCCGTGCCTGAACTCCCCAGCCCACTGAAGCCCCTGAGGGAGGCCAGAGTATCTGAGGTGGGAACAATTTGGGTGGCTGCCAACCCAGGAGCAGCCTTGATTATCTGTGTCACTCTTCAGACCCCCCTGTCAGGGAGAATTCAAAAAAGTGAGTCCCTTGGGTGGTGGCAAAACTGCCCCTTTGGACTAGAAAGACCAGGGACACACCAACACCCTCTTGCAGAAGCAAGGATGTGGCCACATTGGAGGGCATACATTGTCTGAGTCTGGGGTTAAATGTCTTCATAGAATAATTGAGGGATTAGCTGGTGAGGTTGATGGATAAATACTAGATGCCCAGTTAAATCTGACTTTCTGATAAACAACTTAAAAAAAATTTTTTTTATCCCAGTAGGATATACTTATACTAATGAAATGATTTGTTATTTATCTACAATTCAAACCTACCTGGCTGTCTTGTGCTTTTATTTGTTAGATAAACAAATCGAATGCTCAAGTTGGAACTGGGAGGGCAATCACTAATATTTTAAAAAGAAGTGCCAGACTGAAGTTTTGTTTTAAAAAATTCAGAATACCTTCTGATGGGGCCAGGAATCAAGGTAACTCGAACCATTAAAAGTGCCTCACTTTCATCCTTTTGATACCTCCCTGCTGAGGGATAAGTCATTCTTTCCATCCAGGGTCTAGAAATTTCTTCCTGTCCCCAATGTCTGTTTAGAAGTCAAGTCTACCCTTGCCAGTAGCATTTGGGTATTGAGTTATACCTTCTTTAAAAAAAAAGAAAAAGGAAAAGTCTTCTCTCCAGGCCGGCATTCAGATGCCCATGAGCTCGGCCATCAAATATGAATATTCTCTTAAAAATAAAAATTATGGTGCACTAAAAAAGGAGCATGTTATGTCAGCACTGGTGATGAGACAATTTATTACCGTCTACAAAAAGAAGGCTCAACCGATGTGGGGGAAGCTGGCTCAGCGAGCTGTAAATTATGAGCCATTCTCTTAGTGGCAGAAATAAAGCCTCTTGTCAGTCACTGCACTCTTCCCTTGACAGTCCAGCAGGCTGCTGGGAGCGGGCAGTCAGAATTATATGCCCATTACCTGCGAGAGCTGCCCCATTCTGCTTCTCCGGGCTCACCCCCCAATACTCCCGGGCGAGCCCTTGTGTGGTCTCTACTCACGTCTTTAGGACACATGTCCTTTTTGACATGAAAAAAATAACAAGTGCATATGGTCTTCTAGCAGGCAGAAAGAAAGCAAGAAAGCAAGACCTGAGTTCAGTGGAAAAGGAGCAGAATTCCAGACCAGAGGCCTCAGCAGAACTCCCCGCCTCGAGGGAGACTCCGTTGGCCTCTCTGAGCTGGGCCTTCCTTGGCTGGAAGATGGAGTGGGGCTGAAAGGGCAAGGCAAGAGGTAGCTCAGCTTCCGCACGTGGGGTGCTGGGGCGCTGCTTGTGAGGTAGTCTGCCTCTTGTGCTGGGAGGGGCTCACAAAGGGCCAGGGGGACCCTGTGGGAGACGTTGAGAGAGGCTTCCTTTACCTAAACTCCAAGGTGAACTCACAGGGACTTCCAGGGCCAGCTGCATAAATCCAGAATTCCGTGTAAGCAAATCCTGCTCCCACGGACCCCAACCCTGCCTCGATGAAGCTGGTGATTGCCCCACATCCTCCCCGCCCCACACAGCCGTGGACTCACCACCTTCCAAGAACAATCTGTACCATTAACCCCCTACTATGAGGGCAGAATTTTAAGTACCCCTCAGAAGAGTACTCGTGGGAGCTCACTGCCTGAGACATAACTGGACATGCACACCATGAATGAATAACATGGATAATTGCTAGGCCATAAATATGGTTACATGAGTCTATTGCATATGAGAATAGGGTTACATGTTTTCATAGAGTGGCCAGATAAATACTAGGTGCCCAGTTAAGTTTGAATTTCAGATAAACAATGAAAAAAAACTTTTTTTAAAAGATTTTATTGATTTATTTGAGACAGGGTGAGTGAGAGAGAGAGCATGAACGGGGTGGAGGGGCAGAGGAAGAGGGAGAAGCAAACTCCCCGCTGAGCAGGGAGCCAGACGTGGGGCTCAATCCCAGGACCCTGGGATCATGACCTGAGCTGAAGGCAGACGCTTAACCCACTGAGCCACCCAGGCACCCTGAAAAAAAATTTTCTTGAGTATATATCCCACACAATCTCGGGATATACTTATATTAATATAATGATTTGTTATTCAAACATTTTTAAACTTTAAAATTTAAACTTCAAACTTACCTGGCTATCCTGTACTTTTCTTTGCTAAATCCAGCAACCCTTGATGGGGGTCAAATACTCCAACTGGAATTGGGGAGGGCAGTGTATCGCTAACATTTTAAAAAGAAATGTCAAGCTAAGGTTTTGGTTTTAAAATTCAGAACACTTTCTGATGGGGCTAGGAAGCAAGGCAACCCAAACCCTGAAGGGTGGCTTGCTGAGCTCAGGTGTGGCCCATTAGGCATCTAGACAGATTAAAATAAAACAAAAATAAGTAAGAACAAAGAAAGAGACAGAGAGGAAGAGAGCTCACAACTAGGTGGGACATCTGAGACCATCCTAATAACCCCGGGGGCCTCAGGCAGCAGGATCCATGGGAGAAATGGTGGCTCAGAGCGTGCACACGTTAGGGAAGCTTTGTGAGCTAGTATATCTGGAAGGGTTTGGGTGACCTGGGGAAGAACCCCTTTGCCTTCGCATCCTGGCCTAAGTGGGCTCTGTGGTGGGGAACGGCAGAGTTGAGAAGGGCCCATTCTCCAGAGCCTGGAAGGGCCCAGGCCAGGAACACCAAAGCACCAGCACCATTTGCTATGCTCGTTCCTCAGCCTCCTCTCTGCGCCCCACTCTGCTCTCACCATCAACTCCCCCGCTACCTCGGCCAAATGGGCACTTGTCCAACTCACAAGCACCCATCCCAGACAGTTCTTATTTCTTCTAGTTTGTCATTTCCCTTAACGTCTTATCGGTCCTCCTTGATTTTTCAAAGATGTTTTTCCTTTCTTGCTTGCTGCTTATTTCCCTTTCCTCCCACCCCCAAATGGTTTTCTGATGGTCAGCGAGACCCTTGTCTCTCTGTATAACACAAGGTGGATTCCCAGTCCGTCGCCCTATCTGGCCTGTAAGGCAGAACCTTTCCGTGAACTTTATTCGGATGGAGCAGCTAAGAGCAGCATGGCCACTGGGGGCTCAGCAGCAGCTGTGTGCTACCATAGCATGAGATACTCTTTGCTTGTGAGAACCGATTTGTTAGGGCAGCTCAGACACCAGGCAGGAGGCCATGGGGACACACACTGCCCTCTGCAATGAGGAGTCCAGCACGGTGGAGAAAATGTCACCGACACTGTCTTCTAGCTTCAAATGTTAGGTTGTTGAGGTAAAGTGGGAAAGGGCAGGGTTATGGACAATTTTTCTTTTTCTTTTTAGGTTGCGAACTATTAACTGTAGTTCCGTATTAACCAGCCCATTTAAGGGTCTATAGAATAATGACAATGTTCAAGCCAACAATGTCAAGGTTGTAAGCACTCCCAGGGCTGTCTTGAGTCATGGGTTAAATAGAATCCATGACAGAGTATTTTACTGAACTGTTTTCTAATTACCTGAAAATTGGTCATTCGTGTCTGCCATACACAGTGATGTGCCAACCACACGGTCTGAATAATCTGTACTTTGTCAGGTTTACAGAAGGCTGGCTGTACCTGCCATCTCTGGGCCGAGAATTCTTTCTATTCTCGATTATTTTGTGCTTTTGCCCAGAGAAAAATGATGGATCAAGGCAGAGAAGCAGGTAACGGGCCATCCCCAAATAAGCACGTTCAAAGACAAAGAGTTATCGAAATGTCACAAACTTTTGCTACCAGCCCATCATTTGAATGCTTTTCCAGACAAGGGCATCTGCAGTGACATTCTCCCCTCTCTGAGCTCCATCAGGCAAAGGGAGACTCCCTGCTGACCATCACCGGGGACACGGACTAAATTCTGACAGGGTGGGTTATTCCTGAGCACCTGAGGAATAGTTAAGATGTGTCATGTCAGGGGGCGCCTGGGTGGCTCAGTCGTTAAGCATCTGCCTTCGGCTCAGGTCATGATTCCAGGGTCCTGGGATCGAACCCTGCATTGGGCTCCCTGCTCAGCGGGAAGCCTGCTTCTCCCTCTCCCACTCCCCCTGCTTGTGTTCCCTCTCTCACTGTGTCTCTCTCTGTCAAATAAATAAATAAAATCTTAAAAAAAAAAAAAAAAAAGATGTGTCATGTCAGTAGGTGTCTGGGCAATTTTTAGATCAAGCATTAATAGCCTACGATGGCCCCAATAATTTTCTCACATTGTTGTGATTCTGCTCTTACCTTCTTAGTATGCTTTGCATAAAGGCAGTGTGGCTTCTTAGTTTATGTGATGCAGCAATGCACACTGACCTCCATGCAAATACACTTCACCCGGGGCCTTTCCTATAGATGCCAGGCAAAATGTCCAGCCCCCAGTCCCAAAGGGAAGAATAACCAAGTGGTCATGAAAACCAAGAAAAATGCAATCACAGTACAGTTCTAAGTGTCAGTAGAGAAGACAATGACACTGAAAAGAACCTGAAGGAATTAGTAGTAAGATGGCCTGCAATTTTTGGCCAGGTGAGAATTTTTCCTAGTGTAATATATAAGTGATCTTCAGAATTCTGCCATCATCCTAAAACACCAGATTTGATTGAAATACCAGAGCATTCACTGATACTGAGAGTCAGGGGTCCCCCAGGTGACCCACACCATCCTTATGCAACTTGCCTATCAGGGTGGTAAGTGTGATCATGAGGAGTTAGATCACTCTGGGGGCTTTTGCCCATGTGCCTGAAGTTTCGGAGTCAATGGGACTCTGTGCCCAAGATCTGGGCTATTAGACATGGTCCATGGGAGGTTTTGCGTGGCATGTAAGAAGTCATACAAAATAGGAACTTCCTCCCACAACTAAAGGGGAGGGAGACCTGGGAGAATAGGAAGCCATTTGCATCTGCCAAGTGGAAGGTCAAACAGCCAACTCAACAGGGAGTCTCTCTGTTGGGACTCAGAGGTGGTTACATGGTTATGGAAACAGAAAACAAAAAGAGTCTCCAAGTCTCTTGAACTAAAGGGGGCTTTCTTACATGATTCTCTCATAAGACCAGCACACAAGAGACTCTCATTGTGACCAGAGGTCAATGCAGAAATTTGTCAGAATGGTGGGTCCTAGGTGGCAGTTGGCTGTATCATGATAAGTCATAATAATGGACTTTCACTTACACTGAGCCTTTTTTAGGTCTTCTGAACCACATTACATATTAAAAAACAACTTGGCAATTTTGATTGGTAACTTGGACACTTCACTTTTCATGTAATCCCCCTGCTGCGTGTGTGTGCACACACACACACCGCCATCAGAGCAATACCTCATGCCCACTGTAAGTTTATCCTTAATTTGGGGGTAAGAAATACTAATGAAGAAGAGACTGTCCCTTCTACCTACAGCAAGGCCACCATCCTGGAGACTGATGGCAAGTAGATGACAGATACCGAAGACACTCGTGTCCTAATGGTCTAAGAAATAGCGTTTCACTATCAACACATTTCAGAACATGGATGTATATTCATAATTCAACATTTATTTTATTCATTTAAAGCATTTTAAAATGTTTTATTGAATATGCACAGTAGAAGAGGATATTGGATTAAAAACAAAAAATCACCCTCTCCCAGCCCTTTTACCAAATATAGTCCACCATGAACCTGCATTTGGCTTTTCTGATGGTTAGCATCCTAATTCTAAATGGCATACTTATATCTCTATCTTGATATTCAACATAGCACTAGCTATGGACTCCTTGCTAGGAAACATGAGGCTTTAGTTGACTTACACTACATCCTCCCTAAATTTTAACAATTATTATTTTTAGTTTTTCTGTTGGTCACCTTTGTTTAAATCTCACACCTAAATCTCATTTCTTGTTCTATTATTTTCAGACAATATATTAATTTCTTTCACCAGTACCATGACAACTTTTACTTCACTAGAGTTGATCATTTTATGTACTATTTTATGAACATAATTAGCTTTTTCATGTTTTGTTCACAGGATGGTTCTAAAAACCTAAAAACAATAAAGACTGTTTTTGTTATTATGACTTTGTAAATGTTGTTTGTTCAAAGTCAATCAGTACAGTAGGATTTTATTTCCTTCTCTGTGGGTCCAGTGTCATTAACTATAAGTCCCACGAAGGGTCAGTTGTTAAACTCATGTCACATTTTTGTTTCCTTCATATTTAGACAAACATGAGTTTCTGACATAACTTTTTGGTTTTCTTGGGATTTTTATTTGCCTTTATTTTTGTTTGTTAAGAAAAGAAACGTGCCTTTACTAGATCTTCATGATTTACAAATCTCTTAATCATACTATTTCTTGAAGCCTTTTGCTGGACTATATCCTGCAGTAACAGAAAAAAAGCTGCTTTGGACACAAATTTTCTGAATACTTATAAATCTAAAACTCTATTTGCTTACATGCATAACAATTTTCTGGGTATTGAATACTGGGTTTTAAATTATATTGCCCAGAATTTTTTATTCTACTATCCAAAGTTCCTGAGGCCAGTATTATTTTTGCTCTTTTGAGGGTGACTTTTTCTTTTCTTCTGGAAGTTTTAGGAGTTTCTCTTTATGTTTCATGTTCTGAAATATCTTGAGTCTGAATCAAGGCATAATTCTTTTATTCTTCACCTACTTGGAACTTGGAGGGTCTTTTAGTCTGGAAATAACTATCTTTCTTCAGTTCAGGGAAACTTTCTTCTATGATGTCTTTATTCTTTTAATTTTAATAAAAGCTGTACATTTACATGATTAAAAAAATTAAATAGTTCCACAAGTTTAAGCTCAGTTTCCTTCCTACCCCCAGAAGCCACTACTTTCAACGCTTTTAGCTTTCTGGTATTTGCTTCCATATTTCTAAATAACGTACTTAAACTGCTGTTTATTGATTTGTTTGTTTTAAAAATATTTACTTCAGGCAATGGACAGTAAGGGTTTAGCTCTCTTCCTCCACTTCCATACCCTTAAGCATATTTTTTTTCCCTTCCTTTTCTTCTAAAAGAATGATGTCATAATTTTTGGACAAATTAATATTTAGAATTTATACTGTTATGGCTGTAACCCTATAGTACATTAAAATTTTCTTTCCCTTCTTATGCATTCTTTGTTTTTCATTGCAGTGTTTTTTAATTCACTTCATTTTTTAATGTACCTGTCACAAATCCATCCTCAAGCTCTTCAACGGAAGAGAAAATCTCCTCTTCCCTGAGTAAGAAAATATGAGCAATTGTAAAAAATTTGAGATATTGCATGTCTGAAAATGTCTGATAGTCCTTATTCTATCCTAAGAGCATGTTCAGAGTTTGACTGAGGATATAGAATTCTAAGTTAGAAATTATTTTCAATAAGAATTTTGAAGGTCTTGCTCCATTATCATTTAGCTTTAGCATTGCTATTGAGAAGTCTAACGCAGAACTAATACTAAGCCTTTTGTATGTGACTTATTCTTTCTCTCTCAGAGGTTTAGTACCTTCTCTCTGTTCCCAGTGTTTTGAAACTTCCCACTGATGTGTTTTGTGTGACTCTGTTTTCATTCATTGTGTTGGGCACTTGGTGAGCCACTTGGTTAAGAAATTCACGTCCTTTGTGTCCAGGAAATTTTCTTGAATTGTTTCTTTGGTAAATTTCTCCCCTCCCATTTTCTTTCTTCTCTATTTTTGAAAGTCCTATTATTTAAGTTCTTCTACTTCCCGTCTAGTCTGATTTTTTTAAAAATACTTTTTAGCTTCTATTTTTCATTTCTTTGTTGTAATTGTTCTAATTATTGGGAGATTTCCCAGCCTTCTTTCTAGGCTTCTACTAAAGTTTTCATTTCTGCTTTTTAATTTTTAAATTCCAAAATCTTTTTTGTTTTCTAAATATTCATTTCTACAGCAACATTCCTTTATCAGCTTTACTGAAGTACAATTACTATGTAATTGTCCACATTTAAAGTATACATTGTGATAAATTTTGACAAATGTATATACCCATGAAACCATCACCACAATCAATATAATAAACATACCCATCACTTTCGAAAGTTTCCTCATGCCTTTTTGTAATCCTTTTCCCCCTGCCCTTTGCACCCCCTCATCCCATCCTCAGATAACCACTACCCTGCTCTCTGTCACTGTAGTTTAGTTTTCATCTTCTAGGACTTTATATAAATGGAATCATGCAGAATGTATTCTTTTGTTTGTTTGTTTGGCTCCTTTCATTCATTTCATGATTTTGAGATTCACTCATGTTCTATGTATCAATAGGTCATTCTTAATTACTCTATGTGTAAGGGTTTAGCAATTGTATATTGCTTATACCACAATTTGTTTATCCATTTACCTGTTGATAGACATTTGGTTTGTTTCCAGTTTGAGATTATTACAAATAAAGTGCTATGAACTTTCATGTACTAGACTTTATGTGGACATATGCTTTCATTTCTCTTGGGTAAATACTTAAGAGTAGAATGGCTATACCATATGGGTAGGTGTGTGTGTTTAATTTTTTCAGGGGCTGCCAGTATTCATAATCTATTGCTATGTAACCAATTACCCCAAAACTTTCTGGCTTAAAACAACACAATTTATTATCCCAGAATGTTTGTGGGTCAGGAATCCAAGCATAGTTTAGCTGAGTGCAATCAAGGTGTTAGCTAGCCCTGAAGTTTCATCTGAAGATTCATTGAGAAAGGACCAGCTTTCAAGCTCACTCATATGGTTGTTGGAAGGATTCAGTTTCTTGAGGATTGTTGGACTTAGGGTCTCAACTCTTTGTTGGCTGGAGATCTCTCTTAGTTCCTTGCCATATAGGCCTCTTTGATATGATGACTTGCTTTATCAAAGCCAGCAAAGGAGAGAGTCTGTTAACAAAATGGAAGTCACAATCTTTTATAACCTAGTCATGGGAGGGACATCCCTTCCATGCTGTTACATTATAGTGGTTAAGAGAGGGAATTACACAAAGCCAGACAGCTAGGAGGTGGGGATCATTTGGAGCCCTATCAAAATCATGCCAAACAGGGGCGCCTGGGTGGCTCAGTTGGTTAAGCGGCTGCCTTCGGCTCAGGTCATGATCCTGGAGTCCCGGGATCGAGTCCCGCATCGGGCTCCCTGCTCGGCAGGGAGTCTGCTTCTCCCTCTGACCCTCCTCCCTCTCATGCTCTCTGTCTCTCATTCTCTCTCTCTCTCAAATAAATAAATAAAATCTAAAAAAAAAAGAAATCATGCCAAACAGTTTTCCAAAGTGGTTGTATCATTTTACATTCCCAAAAGAAGCATATGAGAATTTTAGTTACTCCTGTCCTCACCAACATTTTGAATCATCAGACTTTCTATTTTTAACTATTCTAAAAAGTGTGTATTAATATCTAATAGGGATTTTAACATACATTTCCGTACCGAACATCTTTTTTATGTGCTTATTTTCTATCTATATCTATCTATCTATCTATCTATCTATCTATCTATCTATCTATCTATCTATTTA